TTACATTAGGAATATTAAAATTAATGACGAATGGTGATCAGTCCATAATAAAAATCATAAACAATATAAATCAACTTGACAAGGAAAAGGTAAAAATACAGACCCCTGGAAACACTGGAGTTATACTGCACGACTAAACACAACTTCTGAAATGTCTATCATTGCCTTCCTCCTGTTTGTCGGTCTGCCTGTCTCCCTGATTCCCGGGACCCCGGACTGCCCCCAGAGTTGTCCACCCCTTCAGTTTCAAACCTACATCGACACATCAGAGTCTCTCCCTAGTGTCAATATCATTTCGAAAACCTATTAAATTCTAAATTGTGTCCCTTCTCGCAATGATTTCGATAATCTGATGTTGGGTAAAAGGCGTCAATATATGTATTGGACATTTGAACTTTGCAATTGGTATCTTTATTCTTTAATCTACATCAGAGAAAGGTAAGACAAAATCTATGTCAGTCATCAAACAAAAACATTATATGTACGTTTATCTGCATCAATAAAGTGGTTAGGTAAACCACACTTAATGCGGCTTAATATTCTCCTTCATAATGAATACATATGTGGCATGATTCTTTCAATGAGCCCCACCCCCTCCCTCAAAACATCTCCCTGAAAAAAGATAGCGAGCTTAACTTTCCCATATGAAAACTTATGGCTATGAAATTGTATTAAATTAAATTAATCAGAAGAACTTTTGCATTGCATAATGTGTATAACAAAATAATTATCAAAAACATGCAGTCTTTAGTAGATACCTTATTACATATTGCTTTTTTCATATCCATGGTTTTGATTAATTTTATTTTGTTTAATAATGTTTTTATTCACATTTTATTTGAAAAATATCCAAGACTCTGTTATGATATGATTTACTTTGATGATGAAATATAAAGAAAATTGTAGTACACTATGTGAAATCAGTGTATTATACTGGAAATGTTTTATTCCAGTACTTAACAACTGAGGGACAACCCTAAATTCATTTCGTTCAGAGCTTTAAAACAACTGTAGACAGAAGGAAATTAATCCAATTCAGTCATCAATAAAGTATAATCGGGGCGTATCAAGAACATTGGGTCAAACTTCAAGGTGCAATGAAAGATACTTTACACCAACTTCCTTAAATCATTCAAAAATTAATAATAGTGTCGCTAATAGAAATTCAAGCTTGTATTGATGTACCATTAAAAATATAACCATATGATACATTTCCATTCTTTATAATTAAATAGAAAGATAACGAACAGTAGTCGTGCTCAAAATTCTTAAAACATCAGGGGTGGGATCGGGTGTAAAGGAGGAGTAAACATCCCCTGTCAACGTTCACATACTTTGTGATAGGGTAAGCAAAGAAATCCAGAATCAATTCAGTGTGAAAATCTTTATTAGGAGCAATACACTGCTTTTACTCTCGAAGACCTTACTAAATTCTTCGTGCTTGAACCTTTCGGTATGTGTTCTGAATTTTTAGCCTGACTGAAATGTTTAAGTAAAATATTTTTCTGCATTTATTCTCACGTTATTATTTCAGAGAAGTAGATCAATTGTACTGGCGTGATAATAAGTGCCATTGAAGAGATTTACATGTATTTGCAAATAATCAAATGATTTCATGCTTAGCGTACAAAGTGGATTTAATCCTATGTTTTGAGATGACTCCTTAATTGAGAGTCCGAAGTCCGTACTCCTCTCTGTGCTATTTTTTCTGTGGATTTATTGAATGATAAGGAAACATTTGTCCTCATATAAATTGGGTAATTTTCCATCTGGACCGGCAGGAACATTTTGACGGTTACTGTGCGACTAAATAAACTTCTAAAATGCCTGCCATTGCCTCCCTCCTGTTTGCCGGCCTATTGGCCTCTCTTACCCCCGGGACTGTCCCCCAGTGTTGTCCACCCCTTCAGTTCCAGACCTACATCGACAGGTTAATGTCATTATCAAGCTTTAAAACATTGGTAAGTCATATTTGTAGAAAATAACAGTGTTTATGAGTTGATGGTAAGAAATTGGGGATCTGCAGTTGAATTTCTGATGGGTTTCAAAAACTTATCTGACATCTTTAAGGATTTATTTTGAATTAAAATAAAATATTTATTTTTGCTTTGGTGTTTACACAATGTATATGATTTAATTTTGTATTTCTTTCTAGATGTATTCATATGATGCGAAGTCTCGGAGAACAGCAACACATGTCGTGACTGACTCCAAAGAAAACGAATACGACCGAATAGATGATTACGCAGCCGTAAGTATAAATTATTCTAATGAAAACATTCCTCATACAAATAAAATTAACCATTGTCAAACTTCTTCTCGGCCAGCCAAAAAATCTATCTTTCTGCAAAAAGCTTAATTTTCTGTAAAACTTTCAGAACGATCGATATATATCATACGGAAATCTGACTTCAGGGTAATGCATCTAAAATCTTCTTTTTTAGAAAAAAATAAAATAGAAAAGAAATTTGAAATTTTTTTATGTTTTCGGAGCTCCGTGTTTGCTCTAATCCCGATTTGTATTGCTTAAATGGACTGTGAGCTTGAATACTGTTCTCCATATTTCTCCATATTTCATGAATCATTCCTTTCATCGGTCAGTTTGAGTATGAATGATCGCCCTGGTATCCCCTTAATATTTGGAAGAATTTAAATATAATTGCAAGTCAGAAAACAACGGCAAATCATTTTTTAAGATTCTCCAAATATCAACAATGACTTGAATTTAAATTTAATGAAAAAAAAGAGAGGATAATTTAATTGAATTTGAAAATTCCTTTCTGATCTTTTGAATGTTTACAGATGATAGCACATTTACATACAATAATATCCAATAACTGCTGTTTTCGAGGTCAATAGGATTTAGCCACCTGAGGAGTACAATATTCACCGAGCCCGAAGGTGGCTAAATCATCGTATTGAATGAAAAAACAGCAATAATTGTTTTATTATACGATTCAATGATTAAATCATAGAAACTCATTAAGCAGTTCGTGCCATTTTACTTGTTTACATTTGCTGAAGTCCTAGCTATATGCAATGAGAGAAGCAGGGTTAAATAAACATTACCAGTGATATTAATTTGGATTTTTTAAAATCTACTTTAGTTGCTATAAAAAAGAAAAAATAATGTCAGGCTCTTTTAGAGGATCGATTTTGAAAGGGGGCATTATCAGGGAAAACTGACAGCTGAAAAAAATTCTTTGATTAGCCGCCACGAAAAGAGAATTCTCTTAACTTCATATTTTGCTTTAGGGTTGGGGTGGGGTTAGGAATGGGGGATTAAGGTCCATTAGTGGGGGACCAGCCTTTCAATGAATATTTTTAGTCTAAATAAAAAGTAAAAATTTACGTTCAAAATTTACGAAAAGCAACCCTACCCCAAATTATATACTCCCTATTGTTATGTTCACCTGAGTGGAAGTCGGTAGCAAGTAAAGTAGATTTCCAAAACTATTTGTATAAATTTGGAATTTCCCGATCTATTTTTAGACCAATGTAAAGAAAATAAATCCTTATATTAACTTGGAAGGTCACGTGCATCTGAATATAACGTAGTATTTTTTCTATCACGTTGGATCCCAGCCAATCAGAGAGATAGGAATTATTCAATCATAAAATAAAAAGCCTTGCTATAGAAATAAATTAGAAAAACATCATTTTAGGTATAATAGCATTTTGTTCCTTGGATTTGTACCTTTTAAAAGATTATTTTGGAATATATTTTTATCTTTGTTAATTCATATAAAGTGGATGAAAGTATGTATAAACTTACGTTACATTGATTTAATGTTTATGAAAAAGTGAACATTAGGCACGTCTTCAAAATTTGGAGTAACAAGTGGTTTCTTAAAAAAAAAAAAAAAAAAAAAAAAAAAAATCTAACAAGTTTAGAAGTAAATCATTATTATTACACCAAATGATATCAAAATGAATTTTTAAAAAGAAATAAAGGAGAAAACATTAAAGGAATGTAAATATACGCAGGTAAACGCCAATATCGGATAACAATAAAAATAAATATAAAAACAGTGGCCACACTGTATCTTTATTTAAAGTGAATAGTATTTTGAATCAGGTAGATATTCTTGTTTTTACTTTCAGAATAAGTCCTACGAATGGGGAAAAGGCTGGTGCCATGTTACAGTGACGGGTCCTTCTAACCAATCCTGTATCCCAGGTCGGACTGAATTCTATTTGTACCAGTAGACCTTTTCAAAAAATTTCTTACGATTAAGACAAAACTTTCAATTCTCCAAAAAAGTATTTAAATTATTGTAGGTCAAAACAAATCTTATATTTCTATTACATACCAATATACACGTTTTGTGAATAGTCCTTCAAAAAATTAGTATCTTTAGCAAACAAAGAAATTACAGAGTTGTGAAATTTTAATCTTAATCGTAGGATTTTTGTAAAAAAAAAAAAATAAAAGGCTACAGACTCTCGGTATATAAAAAATAAATCAATTTGGAGCAAAGATTATCATTTTGATATATCGAATCTAATCGAATTATAAAAGTACATAATAAAATCACAATATTATTATAGAGGCAATAATATATATTACAGCTGGAGCCAAATTAGTCCGGCAATCATTTGTGGGTGTATCGCCTAACACAATTAAGGTAGATACGTACATGTTCATAGTAAACGGTTTCACACGACTCGTCACCGTGGGACCAAACTGTACCCATGTAGAGTTAGCTCAGATCACCTCAAAGATCCCCCAACCAGGTACATATTTTATTATCATGATGTACTTTATTTCATGTTAACTCCACTTTCAACAAATTAGCCATATTTTGTTAATTGCTAGATTTTTAAATCCTACACTTTGTGTTCGTACGCCGCGGTATGTTGTTATTTAGACAAACACGAGAAAAAATGAATGCAGAATTCAGGCAACAGAGCTCTCTAAGTTAGCTTTATTCAATTGTTCTTCATACATATAGGTACTGGATTGCATGTTATTAATTGTATTTATTTGTTTAGAAGAACAATCTTTGTGGATTTTCTACAACATGACAATGGGAATTAGAGATGCTTCCATTTTTACACCACCGAAAATCTGTTTTAAAAAGGTTAGTCGTTCGTGTATGTTGAAAATTTTTGTAGAAACAACTAGAAACTTCAGCGAGAATCTATGAATAAAGCAGATAAATAATTACATGTATGCAACGATTTATATCTGAGTGAAAATTAAACTGATGGTCAGGCGATCATATTTTTCTCGTATCGTCGCTAAAAAATAAACTAGTATCAGGCAACGCTGAGTGGATATTCGGTATTCATAATCTCCCTACTGTCAGTGGATTTTTGATATTCATAATCTCTCGATTGTCAGTGGATTTTCGGTATTAACAATCTTTCTGTTGTCAGAAATTTAATATTCATACTCTCTCTACTGTCAGTGGATATTCTGTATTCATTATCTCTATACTGTCAGTGGATGTTCTGTATTCATAATCTCACTACTGTCAGTGGATATTCTGTATTCATGATCTCTATACTGTCAGTGGGTATTCAGTATTCATTATCTCTCTACTGTCGGTGTGTAATCGGTTTTCATTTTCTCTACTGTCAGTGTGTATTCGGTATTCATTTTCCCCCTTACTGTCAGTGGAATTTTACTATTCATAATCTTTCTTCTGTCAGTGAATATTTCGTATTCATAATCTCTACTGTCAGCGGATATTTGTTATTCATTATCTCTCTACTGTCAGTGAATATTCGGTATTCATAATCTCTTTACTGTCAGTGGATATTTTGTATTAATAATTTCTCTATTGTTAGTAAATTTTTGCTATTCATAATTTTTCTTCTATCAGTAACCGGTCACGGTAGCCTAGTGGTAAGGCGCTCGCTTCGTGATCGGGAGGCCCGGGTTCGATTCTCGTTCGCCGCGCCGTGTCAAACCTAAAAGGTAACCATGTGATGTGAGTGATGTTCCTTCGCCAAGCGCCCGCCACTAGAAGTAAAAGTCACGGGTCTTTGGGATGAGACCTTAAAAACTGAGATCCCGTGTCACAGTAGGCGTTGGAACGATAAAAAACCCTCACTGCTCAATGGCCCTTACTGCCGAGTACTGGTCTAAATTTGAAGCCCTTCACCGGCATACGGTGATGTCTCAATATGAGTGAAAAATTCTCGATTGGGACGTTAAACAACATACAATCAATCAATCTTCTGTCAGTGGATATTTGGTATTCATTATCTCTCTACTGTCAGTGGATTTTTGTATTCATAATTTTTCCGCTTGCAGTGGATTTTCCCTGTTCTTTACTCACTTTATCATTTAACTAATTCATCAAGATACCAAAAACTACATCTAAATTTTACACTTCAGATGATTTCTTTGGCATTGGTTTATTACAGACAAATTTAAATTAGTTTGGTCTGAATGCGAATTATCCTTCGTTTCCATGTGTATTTTAAAGTTTTAAGATAAGGATGATTGATCAGAACTTTTAAATGCTGAATGCTTTTATTTTATTTTATTTTATTTTTTGTTAAGATTGTTTGATTTAACAGGGCACAAGAGTGGACAGAAGACCAGATAACTTGCCTGACTTTACAGCTTTTTAAGAACAGAATTGTCAATAAGCTCCTTCAGGAAATGACTATTGGAAATGTATTTTGGCTAATGTATAAAATCTTAAGAAAGACAAGGAAAAGATGTACATATATATACATTTTAATAATTAACACGACCAAGGATTAAATAATTTATGTTCTTAGGAGCAATGTCCATGGAATTTTAAACAAGTAACGGTGTGCAAGTAACGGTGTTTTTTTTTTTTTTTTTTTTTTTTTTTTTAGGGAAACATCACGTAAATTATTACAAGGTCATTGTACGTTTGTTGCGACAAAATTAAGATTTTAGACCAAGTCTATGTGAGTTTTTTCTCGAACACTCATTCTGTACTTAAATTTCCTTGATTGTTAAAAAATATAGAGCTGTAGATTTATGAATATCACTTTTCCCGATCTTTTTCCACCCAACAAATTAAAAGATATAGTAAGACGTCAAAATGTTGCTCTTAATTGTACAACTCAGCAAAGTTTGGGGAAATACCATACTGCGTTATATAGTGCATACTGGAAAGCTTTGATATATCAACAATTCCTTTATGTATTTGTTTCATATGATCATCTCACATAATAGTTCAATATCTCTATTTCTTAATTATTTTATTTCTTATAATATAACATAATATTTTATTCAACATGCTTAAAATATACCATTGATTTGAATTAATATAACAACAACAACAAAAATAAATCAAAAAAACCTCATAAAAATTTTATATCAATATTTCACCAAACCTGAATAGGTAAATTGTAAGATATGAATGAATCCTTTACAGAACAAGATATTTCAACAGATGTTTTCACCTGTATTTTGTGTAAGAATCAGTAATAACTTATTATTAACCAAATATATATTTCTTATTTCCAACAAAACTTTAGAACACAACCCACATTTTCATCTAATGAGCAATCGCTAATAATCTATTTATTGCTTCACTTAATTGTTAAATATTTCCTTTGTTCACAGTGATACGCTAAATTTTAATTGATAGATACGAGAAACAAAAACGAAAGAAAGAATACATTTGATAGCACATGCAGAAGTTTTGACCAGCAAATGAAACAGCTGTTTAAGATATTAAAGTTAGTCATATTTAATAAAAGTTCAGGTCAAGAAGGGGCTCGGTCGCTTTTCTTCCTCCACCAATTCTTAATCGCTAAATTTTATTTAATATGACTAATATATTTGCTACTCAAGTGTTTCTGATTCGTACTATGTTTATAGTGAATTCTATTGTGAATGAACCGAAAGGAAATATGCCAGCATTTTATATGTCTATGAAGGTCGACATTGATTTTATTTTCTTGCATAAAGTCATGAAAATTTGATCTATTGGGGGACCAATTCCTTTTAAGGGAATCTGTAGTTCATGTAATCCTTTAGTAGCCTACATTAACTCTAGAACATGGTTCCTTGAAAACCGACTCAAGAACATTGAGATGGAAGTTTACATTAGAACTTTGATTAACATTACATTAATGTAACATTGTTGTGCAATTATCGATATGTACATAATTAAACATCTAGACTAACATATTCGTTGATGTCAAAATACACACGTTTACGTTTTTGTAATTGAAAAATCTATGACATCTGAACTCATCTCTCGTGTTTTCATTAGCTTGTGTTTGCTCTTCTCTAAATTGGTATTTTTTGTTTGAATATAAGTATTTGCATTTTAAATTTCACAAGATTTATATTTTTCTGCTTTAGTTTTTTTTTTTCAGTTTGAAAATATGTAATTTTCAACAGTTATTGTTATCTATTAATGTACAAACAGTCATTTTCAAATGCATTTTGAAATTAAAAATATGTACCAAATATTGCTAAAGATATTTTTAAACATTTTCAATAACGATATGCTAACCAAGTGTGTTTGAAAAGAAATGATATACATCATATGGTAATGTAAAACAAAAAAAAAACTTTGTTTATCTATACAAAAGATACCATTTCCTATTTAACTTCTATAAATACTTTTGCTTCTAAGAGAAACCCCAAAAGTTGTATTGATATTGTGTATAATCCCATTTTGCCTACGAAACCAGTAATAAGGAAGAAAATAAATATTTGCATCAACAGAAATTATTCATTACTATGGATACCAGATAACCAATAATAATTCATAATTATTTTGATAAACACTCAATTCAGAAAGAAAATTGCAGGTTGATACAAAACAGCTTTACAAACCTAGTCTCAGATTTTAATGATATTTTAAATAAGAATCTATTTATTCAAAAAAGTTATCAAATTGGATGTTATTCAGAACAAGCTCTTTAAGCCGCCACGTGTGTCGGATGATAATGATTTTCGATTCTGTCCGTCGATTCCTTAAACTTAATTTTGCAACAGAGGAGTAGATGCTGTGAACAATAGTAACATTCTTCATCATAAAAAAGTTTAGGCTTGCATTTCACCATAATTCAGGTTGAAGTCTACACGTTTTCTACAGGTATTCCCAAACTGTTGCTTCCAAACTTTTGTAATTATAGCAAACCTTACAGTGTCTAAATATAGAACATCTAAAACAAAATCCTCTTAAGTGTTCTTGTTTTTCATCTCCTTTCAAATATAGTCCCGCTAGACGCGTCATTACTATTGATGTAAATACGATTGAAAATGACGATATAAAAGCAACCATTATAAAAGGTCTTGGCGACAGAACTTCATCTCTTTCATGATTATTGTCGAGGATTCTGCCAGACGATGGGCTAAATATGAAGAGGAAGACCGGAAAAAATTGTCCATTTCAATGGACCACGTGTTTTAGAAGCATATTAAAAAAACGTGTTAAGAAAGTTGAAAGGCAATATGCTAACCGTCTATCCTTCTGTTTTCGCTAAATCTGGGGTGAAAAAATAAGAAAGACACAGTGAACGATGGATAGTTTTCGATAGATACTATTTTAGCAAGAGTTATTTCCCATTGGTCGCCATATTGGAGGTATACAAGCCCGAATTCCTTCATTATTCTACCAATATAAACTTGTCATACTAGGCAATTGGGTGAAGATAATACAATATTTCTTACGAATTTATGTTAACACAAACTCCCTTTAATTCGTAATTTTAGTATTTTTAGGTCACCTGAGTCACTCAGGTGACCTATTACTATCTGTTTTCGTCCGTCGTCGTGCGTCGTCCGTCGTCGTCGTGCGTCGTGTGTTAATATTTGAACATTTTCAGCTTCTTCTCTGAAACCGCTGAACCAATTTCAGCCAATTTTAGCATATGACATCTATGTGTGAAGGGGAACAAAATTTGTGAATATCATGGTCCCTGCCCCCCTGGGGCCTGAGGGGTGGGGCTAAAACCACCAAAATTAATGCAATCTTTAAATATCTTCTTCTTTACTCCAGGACATCAAGCAATCAAACTGTTGGCATGATTGTAATTAGCATTGAGCCCTCTACCAAAATTGTGAAATTCATGGCCCCTGGGTCAGGGGTTCTGGTGCTAGGGTGGGGCTATATAGATCATATAGTGA